CTAAGCAAAGCTGCGGGAACCAGATCGTGGCCCCTTCGATCCCTCTGGCTGTGTGTGTGTGTGTGTGTGCGCGTGTGTGCGCGTGTGTGTATGAGGGGGCGTCCCGAGCAGGCGGGCGCAGTGGGCCCTCGTCTCCGGGAGCCGAAAGTCGACCAAATGGGGACCAGATCTGGGGGTTGGGGCTCGGCCATACCCACCACGCTGGCTTTGAGGACCGGGCCCAAGTCAGGCGTCCACGCAGCCATCTGAGGGCGGCGACCCGGCTCTCACTGTCCAGCAGGGCCTCCCTAGGAGCAGACCAGCCCCGTCCAGGGCAGTCAGCTGGGCAGGAGGCGCCTTTGTTTTTACTTCCGAGGGTTCGGGACAACCAGGGAAGCACGTGCTGTGAAAGCTGGGCCTCTGTCGGCCTTTTGGACGAACCCCTCCCTGGAGAGACTGCTGTGTCTGAGCCACGTGTCCATCAGGGCCAGAGGGGACGGCACACGTGTTTACATGCGTGCCATTGGGACGTGTGTGCAGAAATGCGCTGGAACGATGCCTGTTAGCCTGACCTTTGAAGGGATTTAAGCCGGGTTCTTCGAGATGGGCGCTTATTTAGGGAATGTTCATGTCATTCCTCTGAGCGAGGAGCCATCAAACCCACTACTTCAAAACACACAGACCCTCGCTCACGTCCCCGTCCCCGTCACTCCGTCCAGCGCGCTGCACTTGGCCAGTCGCTCTGAAGGCTCTGACTACCCGCCGGCCCCCCAGCGTCCCTGCAGTCCGGCCCCGCCTCTGCCGGTCGCGTTCCTGCCACCCCATCCCTCTGGGGGGGTCGGTCCTTCCTACCTCTTGGTCCAGAGCCCCATCTGGGCTCCACAACCATCAGCACTTGCGCTTTCGGAACAGTAACAGGTGTGGGGACCTGCTGTTAGCAGGCACCAGGGAACGCTCCCGGGGGTGTGGGGGGCGGGAAGGGGTGTCGGCCCCAAGCCACCCAACCTACATGGAGCCGCGCTGGCCCCTCCCAGGCCCACAGTGCTGCGCTCTGGGTCGTTCCAGCATTTGGCGCTGAACTCACCCTGCAGGGCCCCACGTCCTGCACTGGGGGTCTTTACGGGAAGCCCCCCCCCGGCCCCCGAAACCTTGAGGCCCAGAAAGTTCCTCCAGGCCCACAGCCCGGCCCGGCCACCTCTCTCCTGAGCCAAGGGTTTGATGTTGTCTGGCAAGTGCCCTGAATGGCATCAACACCGTTCCGTGCTTGCCTTGGCCCCTGGGGAGCTCAGAGCCCTCCTGGTGCCCTGGGCCCTCCAGCACCCAGTCTGTATTCACCCCTGGCTTCCATCCTCCCGTCTGACCTTAAGATACTCCACTGTCAGTGCACGCGTCGGCCTGCTCTTGAGACCGCGAGGTGGCGTTTTGGAGGGGGCTCTGAGCAGCTCGCTTTTTATGTCTCAGGGCAGAAGGAATTCAGCGAGAGGCAAAGCGATAGATAGGAAGTGATTTATTAGAATAAGACACTTGTGAGGCTTACAGGCGGGCGGGCAGGAGGGTGCTGTACCCAGAACTCAGTGGGCTAGTTTTATAATCAAAGGAAAAGTGAGGGAGGCGGCAGGGAGGGTGAAGACCACCTTCTTCCTCATTCTTGATGTCCCAGTCCCATCCTCTCCCACGTCCGGCAGGGGAGTTTCCTCATCTCTACATGGTCAAGCCGGGACTGTCACGGCACAATGAAAATGAGCGAAAAGGTGGTAACGTATATGCTAAAAATGGTAAATCATCTCGGGTGTTAGTATAATGTCACCTTTTCCTTGTATGTGTTTTTAGTGCACACGGAGGAGTGTGTCCTAGGAATCATTAACTTACTGAGCTCACTGGGCAGGATGTGGGTCTCGCGGCGCCACTGTATTACTGTTTGGGGGCATGTCTCGTGCTCCTGTTGCATAGTTTTGTTGCCAAGCAAACCTGCTTTCTTGAGTGATCATTAACTCACAGGGGTCTCCCATACTTTTTTCTTTACTTATAATCCCCTAGTGGGATTAACTATTTAATCACCTACTTCGTCCCTTTACTCTGTTCCGTGCCACTCTTAGGGCTACGAGACAACTGCTCTGATGACGGGTGTGCTGGGAACGCGACAGCCCTGTCCCCCTCAGCCTCCCCGGACCTCCCGTCCTCACAGCCTCCTCACTCGGGGTGCCTCCACCGCTAGATGCATGGCCCTGACACGTTTACTTCTCCGGGTTCCGTTGTCTGTGAGGGAAGCACACTGCATCCCGAGGGCTGGGCCCGTCCCAGACACGGTCTCCGAGGGCCTGCTGGAGGCTCAGGGTGGATGTCACCAGCTTTGGGGACGCCCCGTCTGGTCAGCCGTGATGCTCGTCTGCCAGCCGACGACCCCGGGTCCTCGGGATCGGACAGCACAGCGAGGCGGGGCACTCGGCTCAGACCCCAGGAGCAGCCCCAGGACGGGCCCCGCCACGTGGCTGGGAAGCGGGGTGGGCGCCGTCTCCGTGCAGCAATGGGAGGGGCTTTGTCAGCGCTGAACTGTGGCTCAGACCCCTGGTGCTGGGGGTGCAGGAGGGAGTGACTGCCCTGGGGATGGGGCTCTTTCTGGGGTGGTGGGAAGTGTGAGAACTAGACAGAGGTGGTGGCTGCATGGCGTGTGGACGTGGATGCCTCTGACCCGGGACCTCCCAGGTGGTGCACCTTGTGATGTGTATTTCACCCCAGTCAACTCAGTCGTGCATGAAATGTCCACAACAGGCAGCTCTACTGATTGCCTAGGGCTGGTGGGGAGGCTTTGGGGGAAATGGGGTCCTTTGGGGGTGATGGAAAGTTCTAAAATCGGCTAGGGTGATGGCTGTACAGCTCCGCGAACAGACTAAAAACCCCTGAATTGTACGCTTGAGAGGGGTGAGCTGTATGCTCTGTGAGTTATATCTCAATAAGCTGTTACCACCAAAGCCAAACCCATGGCACGTTCCGGAGAAGCCACGTCATCCAGCAGAGGCGAGCTCGGGCCCACGAGCTGGTTCTGGGCTGAGCTGGGGCCGTGCCGTGACAGAGCGCCTCTCGGCTGCGGAAGCCGCCCTGCGGGAAGGGAACCAGGTCGACCCGTCCGGGACTGGCCACGTCCAGACCAGCGTGTTTAGGCTTTGGGGCCTCATGGGATCTGATGAAAGCCGTGGACCCCCTGCTTGCGGGGGAAGGAGAAAAGCACGCAGAGCACCTTGGGTACAATTTCAGGGGGTGCCCTGGGTCTCTGAGTCAGGGTGTCTGTGCTGGGGCTGCTCACCGGGGTCCCAGCCCAGCAGGTGGGGCAGGAGTGGGAGAAGGGGCGGGGAGTAGGGTCACCCAGTGGGACCCCCGCGCAGCCGGACACCCTGCCATCTGTCCTTTCCTCTCTGTCCCCAATGTTCTGACCCCCAGATGGGCCTTGGATGACCGTGGCCTCACACTGGCCGTCACCAGGTCTGACCTGCACCCTCATTGCTGACATGACACTGCCAGTTCCTGAGATACGTACGTGCCTCTACCAGCCTCCAACTCAGGGCTGGACAGGAAAGCCCGTCTGTGCCGTTAGGAACGTAGCAGAATGCACCGGCCACACGGGGGGGGCACCGCGTGGGAGCCTGCGGGCCGCAGCCGTGGTTTATCAACCGATGTGATGGCAACTGATAAACTAAGTAGTCATAATCTGTGTTTTATTCCTGGCTTTGCCCCCCTTCCGCTGGAATTATAACCGCGGAGTTCCCAAGGAATCTTCTACAAGGCGGTGCTTCCCAGCTTTCACTCCGAGGGGCATGGGACGCAGCTACAATGAGTGACAGTTCTCTTTCCCTATTTCTAAGAAACCACGCAAAGGATAGAATTTTCTCAATGCTGCGCTTTTGCACATAGGTTTCTTCCGTCTGTTCCCTGCTCCCAGGTGACGCAGCAGGTGGCGGGTGGCAGAAGCCCGGAGGCTACTCGCTGCTCCGCGTCCTGGACCCAGGTTCACGTGATGACGTACATGTTGTACGTGTGTGTACGTCGTACGTTGGTTTTCTTCTTGTAAACTCTTCTTGGTTAGCACAGTGGCATTTTGAAAAAACAGAACCCAGTGGCGCACAAGGGGTGAGGGGTCTCCAGGTTAAGCCCGTGGAGTGCGTAACGGGGGCAGGCTGCCCTCGTCTTGGGGGATCAGTCGTTGTTGCCTTGGCTTCCCCGGTGGGAAGCAGGGCCTCTGGAGCCAGGACACCAGGCAGGAAGAAATGGAAACCGCAGGCAGGGGAGACCCTCAGGAGCTGGGTGCTGTCCTGCTTCGGGCACCCAGTCCTGCCCCCGAAGGGCCTCACACGGACTCCGCTGGGGAGGGGCAGCTGAGCGCCGGGCGGGAGGTTGTGCTGCTGGAAGCGTCAGGGCGGTGTCATCGGCTCATTTGGATTCGCGGCCCCGTGTCCACCCTGGGGTGTGCCCCGCCCGAGGGCAGTGCCACCACCGGCTCTGTCCATCGCGCCCCCAGCTGCTAAGCGGCGTCGGGCCTCATCCCGGGCCACAGACTTGCCTTCTCTCGGCACCTGCAGACCAGGGCTCAGGCTTCACCGCGCACACCGGACTGGTGACACCAGCTTCCAGGGGACAGGGTTTGGGCTGAAGAACTGCTTGGCCGGGGGCCCAGGTGCAGGGCGCTGGGACGAGTGAGGCCCCTTCACACAGGACGGGGGGAGGCTGGGCAGGCCAGGGCGGGCCGTGCGCGCCGTACTCCTCGTGCCCTGTGCCCTCTTCTGAGGGCGAGCTGGTCCTGCTGTCGAGCCCTCCCCTTCCTGCCCGAAGCTGGCCAGTTGCTCACCCTGGAGGGTGGCCCGCTCTGCCCACAGTGGGGCGGGGGGGGCACAGCCGCCCCCAGACGGTCATCTCTGGTCGGGTCCACACGGAGTACCTGCCCGCCCCCGGCGGTTCAGAGATGAGTCAGTCACGGGTTGCGGTCTCTAGCCTGTAGCCGGGCTAGGGGACGTAGGGAGCCTCCTGGCGGCAGGACCTGGGCTTACCCCGGATGAAGACAGCCCAGGCTAGGCAGGTCCTGCTCTCGCTCTGGTGCGGTCTGCTCCATGCTCAGAACAGCTGGCGGGCACCCTGGCCTGGGCGGTGCCGGGCACCCTGGCCTGGGCGGTGCCCGGGGACGTTTGCCGAGTGAGTGAGGTCTCGGGCATCCTGTCCCGGCCCCTCTGCTGCAGCCACCCCCCACCCCATGCCTTCACCGCCCTCCCTGTCTCTCCTGCCCAGGACCTCCCACTCCCGGGCCAAGGCCGAGGCGGCCCTCACCGCGGCTCAGAAGGCCCAGGAGGAAGCGCGCATCGCCAGGATCACTGCCAAAGAGTTCTCCCCTTCCTTCCAGCACAGGGAAAACGGTGAGTCCCGGTGCCGCTGGGGGCAGGGCAGCCGGGGGGGGGGGGGTGTCCCAAGGCACATCCGACGGTTCTGCCCCGCAGCCGCCATCAGCCCACTGCCTCCCTCCGTCTGCTTCTCCCCCGAGACTGTGTGTGCACTCCTCCCCCTAGGGTTATGCTAGAACCTGTGTGACTGCTCTGTCTGACGAGACTGCTGCCCGCCAGGCCAGGACTGCGGCCACGGGTCTGCATCCATCCTTAGCTTCACCTCATCTCACCTGATCCATCAGCAGCCACGCGTGACTAGCAGTGGCCAAGTTGGTCAGCACAGCTCTGGGACGCTGGGGGGCGGGCCTCCCGCCTGTCCAAGGGGTGGGGCTGGAAGGAGCTAGAAGCCACTGAGAGTCAGCCAGACCCGAGGCCCTCGTCCCCCCTTGGGGGACGGGCCTGAGGGAGGCAGGGAGGCTGCAGCAGGGACGTCATTGATCGGAGAGGCCCGCTGGGGCCGCGATCCTCCCAGCCCGACGCGTCGCCCCACCTGGGTCAGGCTTCCCAGAGCGAGTGGAAGCCTCGCGAGGTTTGGGGTGGTGTGTGTCCCGGGACCACGCCCTGAGCTCTCCTCCCAGAGCCTGCAGTTCTTGGCCCCGCTGGTAGGATCCCTGGGCTTTGGCGCAGCCTTGAGAACCACAGGACCCAAGATAGGGAACAGAAGCATTGGAATTCAGCCACAAACACTCCATGTCCTGCCTTGTAGAAGGTCACCTAGCACGAGATGTTTTTTTTATTGTCAGGAGGGGTCCGCGGGCGTGGGACCTCAGAATCCCCGAGCAGCCCAGGCCAACACGCTCTCGGGCCTTGGGTCACCCCTGCAGCCGGGGGCACGGACCAGAACGACTGTCCACCCTGCCCGTCCCACCCTGGTCATCCTTGCCCACAGAGGGGAATTGGAGGGTCTATTAGGGGCTTTGGGAACACTGCCCTCCCACTTCCTTCGCCCCATAGCCCGCGGGTGGGCAGCGAGGGCCCTGGCTGCCTGCCACCATAGCCCGGTCCTGGTCCCCTGCCATCCTCAGGTGAGACTGGGCCTCCACACGGAACATCCAAGAAACCCCCCTCTGTGCTCCCATCTCGCCCCCGATCCAGGGCTCGAGTACCAGCGGCCGAAGCGGCAGCGTTCCAGTGACGACATCGAGGTCATCTCCGCCGGGACACCCTTACAGCAGGAGAGCCCAGAGCTGTACCGCAAGGGCACCACCCCCGACGACAGCCCCCTGCAGAGCTTCCCCGCCAGCCCCACGGCCACCCCTCCACCGGCCCCCGCCTCGAGGAACAAGGTGGCCCACTTCTCCCGGCAGGTCTCGGTGGACGAGGAGCGGGGTGGGGACATCCAGATGCTCCTGGAGGGCCGGGGAGGGGACTGCGCCCGGAACAGCTGGGGAGAGGAGAAGGCCGGGGGCTCCAGGGGCGTCCGCAGCGGCGCCCTCCGCAGTGGCCAGCCCGCGGAAGCCTTCCGGGCCCGGGGCCCAGGCCACAGGCAGCCCAGCAACCCCAAGCCCCGGGAGCGGCGGACGGGGTCCCCCACCACATTCTCCTGGACTTCCCACCACCGGGCTGGCAACCCCGGCCCAGGGAGCACCAAGCTGCTGGAGCTGGACGAGGAGAAGCTGAGCAACTACGAGATGGAGATGAAGCCCCTGCTGAGGATGGACTCTTACACGCAGGAGGTGCACCCCCCGAAAAGACGCTACAGCAAGGGGGGCACTGATGACCGGGGCTTCGGGGCCCAGAGACTGCGGTCCAAGTCCCAGAACAAGGAGCATGCCAGGCCGGCCTCGTGCGCGGAGCCCGCGGTTCAGAGGCTGGAGAGCCTGCGGCTGGGGGACCGGGCGGAGCCCCGGCTGCTGCGCTGGGACTTGACCTTCTCTCCGCCCCAGAGGTCCTCACCGGTGGCGCTGGAATCGGACGAGGAGAACGGGGATGAGCTCAAGGCCAGCACGGTGAGTGGACGCTAGCGGTCCGGGGCCTGAGAGCCTGGCCCCCTGGGTCTTCCCCGACCCTCCTCTGTAGGAAGCCCACACGGGTGCGGGCTGCACTGCCTTGGACGGGTCCCTGTGAGGGCTACTCCCAGGCGCCATCCTTTCAGCAAGGGCACTTGGGTGGTTTTGGAAGCTCTCCAAGAGACACGGGGCAGCATGGGACCCCACCCTTGCCCCCAGACCTCCTGCTGATCAGGACGGTCCTCACCTTGGAGGAACGTCCTGCGTCCTGGAGGGAAACACGGAGGCCAGAGCAGGCAGGACACACACGGGTCTGGCTCCCATGTGGGTGAGAGGGACAGAGTCCCCCAGGCCTGTGGGATCAGACGCGCGGGGTGGGGCCGTGACTCGGGTTCCTCAGGCCCCGTGGTGGGCGCTGGGTCTCGCTCACGGGTGAGGACCACGCCTCGTGGGTGAGACCTGCCCTTGGCGCACTCCTCCCATGGAGGGCGGGTGGTGTTGAGGAAAGAACAGAGATCCTGGGCCAGGCCGAGGGCTGGGGCTCTTGCACCCAGGGGACACCTCCTGACCCCTGGCCTACCAGCTCCCACCCGTAAGCACTCCCCGCTCCCTGGACCGAATGACAGTGGGAATGGCCCGTGAAATGCTTTCTCAGCCCCCCGGCGCAGTGCTGACGCCCTGTGCTAACGGCCATCAGGCCCCTCACCCGCTGGTGGGGCACAGCGTGCTCGGCCCCATTTGAACACGAGGAAACCAGAGGGCCTGCCTTGCGGGGCATCCCCACGGGGCCCTCTGGGACTCAGCACCTGCCAGGCGGACCCCGGGGCCGAGCAGCTTTCTGTTGGAAGGTGGCCCTCGAGGCCACTGTGAGCATCCGTCTGGGCGGTGGGCTAGCTCCTGTGACGCGCCTGCCCTCTCTGAACCCAGGTGCTCCCGCCGGGACCTAGATACCAGCTCTATTCCAGAAACACGTGTGGTGTGTGCGCGCATGTGGGTATTTTAGGAAGCTGAATGATGGGCAGGGTGGGAGACGCAGGAAGGGGTTCTATATTTAGCCCACTGAACCGTGTTGTGGCTTTAAGACCTCTTCAAGCGCGCCTTGGGTGCTTTAAAACAACGCTGCTTCAGGCAGTGGCACGAGCACGTGGCCACCTCCAGCCGGGCATGTACTCACCCCTGAGTGGTTCCACGGGAAGGGGCTTCCAGCAGAGGCCCAGGGTGGTCGGGGCAGCTGGTGCCCCTCATCCTTGTCCAGCACCGTGGCCTCGGCACCGCAGAGGCTCAAGGATGGCGGGTTCGGGGTGGGGGAGAGGCTGTGGTCCAAGGGCCAGGTGGGCTCGTGACCCAGGAGAGCGAGGGGCTCCCGGCGGCTGTGCAGCTCCTGGGCAGTTGTTCACTGAACCGAGACGGCTCTCCCGTCGCCAGGTCTGGGGCCACGCTGGGTGGGCTGCACCTGGCGTCCCAGGTGTGCAGAGCTCGGGTGGTTATGCTGGGACCCAGGCATGCAGGTCTGAAGGGGTCGAAGCCTCAAGGACTCCACACACAAGCTCGTGGGAGCCTCTGACCACTGCCTGAGCCTTGCATCCCCCCGACCCTCTGGAAGCCCTAGTTTCGCTCAGGAGGAGGGGGTGTGGCCTGGGGCTCACCTCCTCTTCCGCTTCCGTTCCAGGGCTCGGCGCCTATCCTGGTGGCCATGGTGATCTTGCTGAACATCGGAGTCGCCATTTTGTTTATTAACTTTTTCATCTGAGGAGACTGTCGCATTAGCAAAAGCAGCTGGTGTACACACGGGGGACGTTAAAAGCAGAACGACAGAAGGGAAGGCTCGTAGCTCGGACACCCAACGACAACTTCCTGGTCTTCTCACAGAACCACGTGATTGGGTATTACTCACAGTTTGCCTTTTTTTCTGGGTCATGTTTTTTGGATTTTAGCCAAAATTCTTTGCTTGTATAACACTCTGCTGTGTGGCATGGCAGAAGGAGGCCAGCACGCCGACCCTCCAGCTTGACGTGGAAAGAGAAGGGATCCCGGCAAATCAATGGCAAAAAAATACAGTCACCACCGTCATCACACCCCCGTCTGGGACGTGGAAAAGGAGGCAACCAGAGGCAGAGCCCCTGGAGCGTCCGGCGGCTAGCGGGTGGCAAGCCCTGGCGTGAGGCACGGGGGAGGGCGCCCGCTCCAGCTGGTAGTGGCCTGGGCCTTTTTCTGTTTTAAATCTGTGCTGCACACTTACTTAGGGAAGCAGAGACCTGCTTTCTCTTCTGCCCATGAAACGACCACAACCCGGCCCTCCTGCAGCCCCGACACTGAGTCTTAAGGCAAAGTCCTTCTTTTCCCCACTGTCTCCCCCACCCCAACCCCAGACCCCAGGGCTGCTGTGCTGTGGGCATCCAGGGGGCTGGCACCAGGGCCAGGGAGCACTGCGGGCATGGGGAGGGCCTCACTTGGACAGCCTGCCGTTGGGCCTGGGCTCAGAGCACGTGGCGTTTCTGCACTGAGGATGCAGGCTGTGCGTCCAGGCTGTCAGATGTCCGCGGCCCCGACGGCCCTCACACGATGTCGTCCTCTCAGTGTGTCACTGAGCCCACGGGTTTGCACATTCTTGTCCTGTGCCTGCCTCGACTTCCCTCACAGATATGCATATTCTTCCAGATGCCTCGCCCACACTCGGGAGCTGGTCGGGTCCCAGGACAGGAATGTGTTTGAAACCCGGTGGCTTGACAATTCCTGAGAAATCATGGCATATCCAACTCCAAAATATGCAACATACCTTGTTTCAATCCAACAAAAGCAGGTTCCTGGTGTGTCTGCCCTTCCTGCCAGCGTTGTCCCACCATCCAAACAACAGAATAAGGTCCCGGACTGTCTGGATGCCCCGTGGTCCCAGCCATGGAGCAGCCCCGGCCACGTGCATGGCTGTGTCTGTGGGGCCCCTGCGCCCACGCCTGGGGAGGCCCCGGGCGCGGCCGTCCGTGGACCCTGCCTTGCTTTGCTTACGTTCAGCTGTTTCTCTGCTGCCTTTCGAGCAGATTTCTTTACTACACTGCACTGGATTGCTATATTTTTAACCAGAAATAAACTAAAGATTAGAGCATGTTCCCGTTAAATTCAGTTTTTTTTCTGTTACATACTCACCCCCCGTCCCTTCTCACAGTTTGGTTGCGTTTGGGGGTCTTCTTTCAGGGAGTGGGGACACAGGAGAGGGAGGGAGGATCCACAGGAAATCCGTTTCTGATCATGATACTTTCTAAAGGGGTATTTCACGTTTTTGTACATCTTACTTCCCGTTCCTTTTTTACAACTGCGTGGTTGCCGCAGCCCTGGAGTGAACCAAATAAACATGCCTGCTCCTCGCAGCTCTCTGCGTCGTCCGTGCTGGGTGTGTGGCTTGTGATTCTGTCTGCAACGCGCTGTGAAGATTAGAAAGACTTCTGTGCATGCCAGTAACTGCAACACAAAATGGTACCTACACAGGCAGGTTGCATCCTCCCATGTGAGCGCACACCGTGACGTAACGTAGCTACGCAGAAAAGCAACAGCACAGATGCCCATCGTGCGAGGCAAGCAGTGGTTTCGGGGCTGGGGGCTCACGGGGGGGCTGGCCAGCGTCCCACCACTTGTCTGGCTGCCAGTAACACAACTGAAACCCAGAGCAGCACCCACGTTACTGCCACTTCCCTACACCCAGTGAATTCCGAGTGGATTCCACCGAGACCACGATGCACTGGGTCTGAGAGGCCCTGAAAGCTAGTTTTTACCTGGTTTCCAGAGCAGGCTGCCCTGCACACAGGCCTAACGCTTTCGCTCAGCCTGGCCAGTCTTTCCTACCTGCCGGAGGCCGGGGTTACCGGCAGGCGCGCCCGTGAGCCCCTCTGGGCCAGGCTGGCTGACCCCGCTTCTGCCGGGCGCCTTCCTGGTGGACACGCGGGACGGGGCAAGAACAGATGCTGTCGCAAGGCCCTAGTGGCGCGGAGCGCTGACAGGTTTTAATTAATCCCAGAGCAACCTCGTGAGAGTCATCTTCTCTCCTAACAGCTGCTCCCATGCTTGAGATGTGAAAACCAGAGGCAGAGAAACTGAGTTACCTGAGCTGAGCCGGGGAGCGGGGGCACAGGCCACCCCCTGCTGCCCAGCCATCCCCCACCCCCAGGCTGGGAAGCTGCACCCGCATCTCACCTGCGAGAGCGGGAGAGGACGCTGCACAGGGTATGCGACACCTGCACCCAAACGACTGACGAGGAAGACGGTGCCCATGCAGAAAAGCTCAGCACGGCCACGAGAACACAACGCCCGCGGCTGAGGCCACTCCAGGGGAGGGCGGAGAGGGCTCCAAACACAAGGACTTCCCACACCCCGTCTAACAGCCATAAGCCCATTTCTCTGTTAGACGCCCTCTGGGTGGGGCGTGGGAGGATGACAGGCGCTCTCCTACACGCACGAAGCCCACGGCTCCCCCGGGCTGCACGGAGAACGCGGTGCGGGTCCCACAGACTCCCGCCGGGCCCGGCAAACATCCAATGCCCAGCCTGGCCATCAGAGTGCTCCCTTTCATCTCAAGAGCCCCACTTTGGACAGGAAGTTACACAGCCGCCCCACATAAAAACCGAAGGGCGTTCCCGAGCCCAGGGGAGAGACCCAGGCAACAAGCCCAAGACGCTCTGGACCGCTGGAGCAGACGAACGTTCGGGAAAGTGAATGAAATGAACTGTTTCCGGTTTTCACCCTTTTCTGAGCTCGGGTACCATCCCCCTGGGTCCTCCAGGCGTCCTGGGTGGAGGCCCACCCACTCTGGACCGAGCTCAGCTCAGCCTTACAGGTCTTGTCTCCAACGCTCCATGCCTTTCGTCTCAGAAACTTACCGTGAAGGGGCCTCCCAGGCGTCACGACCTCTCTCCTCACTGCCACGCGGGCCGCCCACCCACCGACGGCATCCAGCTTGTCCCGTCGTGACATCGAGTCAGCACCACGACAGAGTCACTGTTGATCTTTCCAGGGACGAGGATTTGCTGCTGGTCAGCGAAGGAGGAGGATCGAGAGTCCAGATGAGGGTGCAGGAGTGAGGGGGGGCCGGGCTCAGGGCCTGGTCAGTCTCGCTCTCCTGCCCAGGGCTGTCCAGGTGTCAGGAAACGGGCAGGAAGCAAACAGTGAAAAACCACCGGCCCCAAGTGCCGACTAGTGTCACTAACGCAGCCTTAAAAGAAGAAAAAGTGCAGCTGCCTTCGTGTAAGACCAGAGAACGAAGCCGCTCCTGTACAGCACGCCCACGAGCCCGGACAACATGACCTCAAGGACGTGGACCACCCTCCAGGGTGGGTACGAGGCGCCAGGCACCGAGATGCCGGGGCCCGTCCTCCAGCAGGGGCCGCCAGGCGCCCAGGGGACCAGCAGGAAGGAGGCAGCCGCAAGGGGGGGGCCCAAAGCAGGCGGACACCCGAGGGCGACGGAAGCAATGCCTAACGCTCCCCAGACACGGCGCGTGTGTTAGCACAGACGGAGCTTCTGGAGTCCGCTTCCACCCCAACGTGGAAGAGCCTGGGATGCAAACGGGCAACACATTTTGTTCCAGATCGCCCCCCACCTCAGGGAAGCAGGCACCCCCGGGGGTGGATCACAGTGTGGACGCGGCCAGCCCCGGGCGAGCCTGGGTGAGCAGGCCCGGGCTGGATCTGGGGTAGCACCCCTCTCGCGCCCACCTCGCTGCCCCCAACACACACCTCTCACAGTACGCTGGGGCTCACACGGCTATCACATGTGCACACCCTTCCCGTCCTGTCACAGGTGGATGCAGGTCTCCAGCTGTGCAGCTGCTGCCTGGCAACACGGTGACAGCACAACCCTAGCCCTGGAGGCCCCAAGGAGTGGCCGAGATGGGCCTCGGCTGGACCCTGCCCTCCACCCCCTGGCGGTTCCTCGTTCAGCCCATTTCAGTAGCTCACTCCACGCCTGCCAGGACGCTCAGACAGGCACCAGGCTCCTCCTGAGAGGGCAGCGCTTGACACACCCAAGGCAGGCGTGAGAATTCCTGGTCCCTTCAGAGCAGAGCACACTGGTATCCCAGGGCCTCCTGCGTGTGGACCACAGAACAGACCGAGGGTTTTCCGGCAGGTATTGTGTTCAGCCGTGACCAAGAGACGGGCCTGGCCCAAGGGTGCCCCGCTCTGAGCGCCATCAACAGGACCATCAGGCAGCCAACTGCCACTCAGTGGGTGACTCCCACCCCACACCAAGCCCGCAGAGGGCAGAGACGGGGCAGGAGGGGCCGCGCTCCACCGCCCTAGCAAGGGCTTCCCAACGCTGGGAGCTGGTACGGCGAGGAGACGGGCATGAATGCAGGGGAGCAGGGTACAGCCTCCCCCCGTGCTGCTCCTGCACCCCTGGGACCCCCAGCTCTTCCCACTGGGCCTCTCGGGGAGCCCAGCTCCAGTGACAGCAATGTGGCCTGCGCTCACCGCCGGGCCTGCCGCGTGGCAGTCCGCCCCGCGCTGCAGGGCTGTGGCTCACGTGTGGGCAGATGAGCCCCTGATGCTGACCTGGTGCTTCCCTGACAACGTCCTCCAGCGGGACCCTGCTTATGGGTACCACGCACCACCTCCAAAGAAATGCCACCCGACGCAGCCTGACTGAAGTAAACCCACACGGTCCGTTCCGTGCGGGTGAGCCCTCACTCAAGTGGTGAAGCCACTAACCTGACACAGATGCCCTCCTGTGGATTCTCTCACACATCAGTCTCAACCTGCACTTTCTTTTCTCCCTCCTTATGTCCTGGTGCGTGTAAACTGTTAATACAGGCAATCGTTTTGCACATTGACAAAAAGGCAATGTCGACTGCGTTGATTTTTCTCATTGATGAAGCGGTGAAAACGTTACCCTTTGCCTTTCTTCTCTTCTTTTAGCTGGAAAAATGGCTTAGTTACTTACCAAATGAAAATAACTTTCCTTAACGAATGTAACTGTTTAAATCGTACTGCTACTACGTTCTTCACTACCTGCAAGTGAGGGACGCTGTCGAGATTAAAGAAAACTTTCCCTCCTTTTGGTAATAAACGCCACCATCTGAAAGCTCGGTAACTTGCATCATCTCGGTGTAAGTCAGCGTCTTCACTGCAGATCCCTTCTATTGCCCACGCTTTGAGATGCACACACACAAACTCCTTCGCACGGAACCAGGTGTATGTTACCTGACGGCGTCCGTCTATCGTGTTTGGAGGGTCTCAGGACCCTGAGCAGCACAGCTCTGAGAGCAGGGATCTGAAATGCGCCCCTTCCCTCGCCAGCGCTGCCCCACTGGGCGCCAGCCCCTCACCGACCCGGGAGCCCACCTCGCGCCCGCTCCCCTCCGCCAGCCAACGGAGGACACAGAGGCAGCTGGCAGAGGCACGCTCTGCTGAGGGACCGCCCAGCAGCGTTGCTCCAAACCTACCTCAACTTTCTGAAACTTCGACAGCCTTGTGTCTCTTGGGGCGGTTACTGCTTCCTTCCGACTGGAGTCTCTCTGACCTCCACACCCTCCCCGCACCCCCATCCCTGCCCCAAGGCCGGGAGGAAACCGCCTCTCCTGCGTTCTCGGCTCAGGGCCCTGCGCTCCACGAGCTGCCCTGGTCCCGGTCCTGACCCAGGTCCAGGATCACAGAGAGCCCCCGCTCTGCCCCCGCACAGCCTGCCGACCAGGCCTGGCCCTGGCTGCACTGCGCGGTTCCTCGGCCCCAGACGGCACACATCCAGGGGGCTCCGAGGTGAATGGCTGGGCTGGCCAGAGCCTAGATCACCTCGGCCCTGGCCCCGTGGCCACCAGCTGCGCCCGTCGGTGCCTCAGCTTCCACTGGAGGCTGTGTTCAGAGCCCTGATGACCAGGCCTGGCCTCGGACGGATCTTCCACAGAAGCGCAAGTGACCGTGGTCTAAGCTCTGGACCAACAGCTTCCACGCAGCTTTGCTTTCTGACCTAAGACACCTGGGAAGACAGCAGCGAGCAGAGGCATCGCACGCCCACCCGAGCTGCAGCCACCGCGCTCCTCCAGGCAGGACCTACTGCCCCTCCCTGGCCACACTCCTCCAGTGGAAGCTCCAGGCACACTGTCACATTCTCATCCCCACACACGGTGGGGGGGGGGGGTCCCTAAGCACACGTCTCTCTCATGTCACGTGGCCAGTGCCTGAGCGAGGCCTCAGGAGGGCCTCCTCTACCCAGCGTGGACAGCAAAGCAGCCGTTTCCCCGGCAGCCCCGCCCAGCGTGTGGTCCCCCAGCACGTTTCTACTGTCACGGAGCACTGACTTCCTACCTGCACCGACTTGGTACAAAAACCGGATGTCACGCTGCAATAAACACCGCTGTCACATGCTAACAAACATGCCACAGACGACTCTGTGAACGACAAGGATCTCCGAGCTCGCTGCGTGTTTCCCTTGATTTCTGCTCAATTCAGTCCAACCCCAAGGAATCCACCGCCTTAGACCAACCCTCTCAAATTATCTAAGCCCGACGCCGTCAGCCAGCTGAGCTGCTCCTGGGAAGCGGGGAGAAAGCAGCACAGCTATTCACACTCAAACCCCACAAAGCCCTCCAGGGGCTCTGGTGTGGTGTCCGCAGGAGTGACGGGGCCAGCTGGTGGGCACCAGCGACAGACAGAGGCAGAACCTGTCCAAAGCGGGGGCAGTGAGGGGGTCTTACCAACAGGTCAGCAAACCCAGGAGCAGGCAAGACAAATGTCCACTCAGGGCCCTCGCTGACCCTGAATACAGCTGTCACCATGCTGTTTTGGCTCCAGCAATGCAGGGAACAGAGGCCTAGGGCTCTGTGCTGGCCGTCCAGGCGCCAGAAGCATTCGGTTCGGCAAACCAGCTGCCGGCAGGCAGAAGGGGGAACGGTGAGCTGGCCGCTGCCCTCCCTGGGGACCCCGCAGTCCTGCACCGTACACCCACCTCTCCCTGCAACTGCCCCACCGAAGGGACGCTCTGATCACGGGGGTGACACAGCAGAGGCAGCTCCCCGTGTGGAGCATGTGCTTGTCTTCCTGTCCCTCAAACGGCGTCCTCAGCAATAACCCCGTGGACAGGACAGCAGAGCCAAGAGCAAAAGAGAAGTTTCTTCCGGGGGCTGTCATCTTTTTCTACTTCTTTGATTCCAAACTACCTTCCCTGGAGTCTCACCCGCTTGCAGGCTCCTTCCTCTGTAACAACAACAGCCCCGGGAACAGAAGCCTGCGCTGGGGCCGACGCTCTCCCAGCCACCTCCTCCCAAGGCAGCAGCCCAGAGAGCGGGAGCTGTACGCCTGGGCCTCGCACCGCGAGCACACAAGGCAGGTACCGGGAGGGCCTCTGCGGCCCCCGCGGGCCTGCCGTGGCATCCAGCCTGGCTTTGAGCCCTGCCCGCCTGCCCCGGCACCCACGGGGAGCCGCAAGCAAGACGCCGAAGCCGGAGCGCCTGCCCCAGCCCTGTGACCGGGACCCCCGTGGGCTCTGCCAGGCCCCGTACCAGAGGGAGGCTCTGGTGGGCAGAGGCGAGGAGAGCGCTTCCTACTCCTGATCCGCGTGCAGTCAGGCGGGAGAAGTCTGACGAGTGAGGTCACACGGCCGGAGGTGCGGGGGCCGAGCACGGCGAGAAGATAAGTGCTGCTTGGGGTGAGGGGCTGCTTCTGGGCAAGCTGGCCTCGACCTTCCACGGAAGCCTGCCCGGGCCCGGGCCCGCTCTGCTGGGTGGGTGCGCCCACTCTCCACTTCTAACTTCCAGGTCATGAGCAGGATGGCCCGTTCAAGGTAACGATGGGTTGTTCGGCCGTCACTGAAAACTAAGAACCCTGCTTTCTCGTTACTGATGATACTTTAGATGAAGATGAATTCACCTGGTGTGAATTCAAAGCCCAAGCTCTGCCCCAATTACATAAACGAAGAGCAGCCTCCTGCCATTAACCCTGGAGCAGGCACCAGTGAGAGTGCCCGGTAGGGGACGGCGAGGCCGTGTGGGGACAGTGGGGCCCGCCCTCCGGTTTCCTGCCCTCTTCTGCTGCTGTGCGAAGGACGACCTTGAGCCCGAAGGGGAGAGGGCAGAGCACAGCTCCACCACCTCCTCCCCAAAGGTGGGGAGCAGCCAGAGGAGCTGGGCACACGGCACTCCAAGAGACCCCAGGCACAGCCACGTGGCAGAGCGAGCAGACCAGCCCACAACAGGCTTTATTCTCCAGAGAACCGAGAAAACGCGTACAGGAGGCGGTGGGCGGCCACCGATCATTTTTAAAAAGGAAGGAGTCGGCTGAACGTGCAGGCGGGCAGAACCCATCTCCTAGTTTTGCAGAGGGGAACCCCGCAAAGCCCGCAGCGTTCCACTTCATGATCAAGGTGCCGCCTGCCGTGTAGGCGGCTCCCCCTCACCATCAGCTCGGCCCGACCCAGCCCGAGGCCCCGCCAGAACCACCGGGGCCCGGAGGCTGCACGAAAGACCACCCTCGCGGCAGCAGCCCCCTGCCAAGTCCAGTTTATTTTAAACCGCACGCAGCGCGCTGAGGGCAGGGAACCCCACCCCCTCAGTCTAGGCTCTGGCGGGTGTGCGGCTGCGGCTGAGTCATCAGAGAAAGCCACGGCCACGGCCCGGGCGGCTCTCAGCGCTCTCCTCTCCGGGGCCCGGCGTCGTCTGCGCCAGCTTCGCCCACTACTGCTCGGTCCTGGGCAGGGAGTCTGCGAATGGCTCACTGGGCGCCGCCGAGGGGCGTTGCTCTTTCGTGGGGAAAGGGGAATAAGAAAGAAACGGGTTCAGTCGGGGAAGGAGCGAACGTGCTGCGAGCACCGGATTTACACGGAGGACGTCACGAGGCCGTCACGACCCTGCTTAGACAGCGAGTGCTCAAACGTACTCCAGACACAATTAGAAAAACCACTTCAGCTGACCTCAGGAGCGCACCTACACAGCAAAGTCAAATTTTAACAGAAACTTGGTAAAATTTTACGTACGCTTGTCAGCGACACAAATGAGGGCTCCGGCAGAGAAGTGACCTGAGCAGTGAGCCCTGGGGCCCCTCCTCAGCACCGGCTGTGGCCGCGCGGCCCCCGTGGCACACTCACCCCTGGCCTCCTCGCCGCTGTCCTCGTCCTCTTCACTCTCCCCGCCGCCCTCGGCGCCCTTGACCTCGTCGCTGTCCTCCTCCGAGTCCGTCTCCTCCAGCCACTCCTGAGATTCTTTAAGCAAAAGCAAAAACCACAGTGTCAACACGACCAGGGCACCGGGGAAACTGCAGGCGAGCCGCGGCCGCCCCCAGGAGCCCACCTTCTGCCTGGACACGCGGATGTGAGTGCGGGGGCCCCGACCCCAGCACATCTGGAGCTCACGGCAAACATCACATCCCCACATGTCGAGGCAGAGACAGGCAGAGTGAGAAGCTGCACTCCAAGACAGCAGCCGTCTCGCACAGCCGCTTAGGGCCTCTGCCCAGACGTGTGGATTGTAAGGGATTTCAGCCTCAGACCCAAGGACCGAGCAGTGACCGAGTCCAGAGCAGCCTGTGGTGCAACACGGCAGTGGAGACGGGTGGGCCGCTAGTCTGCTCCCGGGCACACACACGCACCGCGGGGAAAACACGCGTCCAGTCCGCTCTGCCGGGGCAGGTCCGAGGCTTCCGAGTGGCGTCGGGGTGAGCCCGCGCCCTCCCCCAGGGCCCCTGCAGGGATGGCCGTGCACAGACATGCCCCTGGGCAACAGGGCCCTCCCCCCGGGGCTGAGGGCACGGGGGCAAGAGGGGGCAGAGGCGTGCAGCACTCTGCGGGTGCAGGGCAGACAAGCTGGGGGGCTCCCGAGGCAACTCCAGAGGTGCTACCCCCTCACCTGGATCCATCTCCACCAGGACGGTCCACTCCTCCATCTTGTGGAGGTCGAGGCAGTACAGGTCGCTGAGGGTGACCTGGCGGTCGCCAGCCTCAAACATGCCCCCATAGAGGTAGAGGCGCCCGTGCTTCACGGCCAGCATGGCGCTGGAGCGGGCGCTCGGCTCCACCGCAGGGACCCCCGCCTCGCTGGGGCCATCGTCGCTGTCGTCAGACTCAGGCTGTCCCGCCGGGCCCCGGGCAGCGAGCCCCTGCTGGATGGTGGCTGCGGTCCCGTCCTCTGCCACCAGCTCTCTGGCCACCTGCAGGGGCTCCTGGGCCGGGGTCCCCTTCAGTTCCTGCTTGCTGGAACCCCCGGGCTCCCCTTTTCTGCCCCGCCTGCGCCTCCTCTTCTCCACCTTGGACCCCTGGTGATAAAGAGCAAAGGCACCGCGACTCAGGACGGGGGTCAGCGAGCACCCGACAGCCAGAGGAGCCCCGTCCACTTGCTGCCCCCCCCCGGGGAGCACACCACCCCTGCCTGGTGTGCCCTCTGAGGGGAACGGGCGGCAGATACCAGCCCTCACACGCTGCCCGACTCCCCTCAGAGGCGCCCAGGCACTTCAACCGGAGCCAGCCTTTGCCACACAGTGGACCATCCGCCCTCCTTCGGCCACAGGGCCCTGCTTCTGAGGCCCCTGACCTGATGAAGCCCCCAGGGATGTCATTCCCGGGAGAGCAGCCACTGTGCCGCGTCTCTCAGGCTGGTGCTGGCAGGAGGGGCAGAGGCGACCCGGTCCCTGCTTAGGTGACAGTAAAGATGGTGGCAGCTCCACAGAGCCTCACAGACAGAGGGACCGGGGAGGCCCTGGGCATCACTGACAGAGGTGACAGCCGGGCAGGCCCTGCGCTGGCTGCAGGTCTGGGGCCCAGGTACCTTCAGCTGCCCCGCGAACCAGCGGTTCCTGACGGGGTCGTAGAAGTGCAGGTCGCTGAGAAAGTGGCCCTCCAGGCTCTCGTCCTCCTCGTCGTCACACACACCCCCAAACAGCAGCGTCTGATGGTTCGGGGCCACAGCCACCGAGAAGCCGGACCTTGGCGTGGGCTTGGCTCCGGAAGGGTTGACCCGCGTCCAGGCCCATCTGCCTGATGAGGAGAGGAAATAAGGACGGGGGGCCTGCAGAATGCCATGGCCGTCGTTCTGTGCCTGTGGGTCCGGCACACCCTGGAGGCCATGCCTCCTCCTCGAGGGTCAGTCTGCGCTGAGGTAGGGAACCTGTCCACACACCCTCCCAACACTTGCCCAGGGGCGCCGTGTGGCTGTGATGTGAAGGGTGAGGGAGAGGCGGGCGCACCAGCTCCGGGGGACCCCGTACACTGTGCCCTCGGGCGGGGCCCTCCAACCTCAGACACCCCCAGAACCTCCCGTGGGCCACGCACTGTGGTCCTTCCTTCTAGGCGGGCGCCGTGTTTATGCAGCAACCCTCAAGATGTGGCCTGGCACAAAACATGTGGGAGTCTTCCCAACACGTCCAGAAAAAGGAACTGGGATGTTTTTTCTTTAATGAACATTTAAAAGAAGTGAGAGAAGCAGCCAACAGCAAGTCCCCCCGGAGGCGCAGCCCTAGCGGCACTAGTGGGCCACAAGGTCACTCACAACAACCAGCATCTAACGCTTAAAGAGAAGAGGAGAAGCATCAGCGTGCCCTGCACGTGGCTGCAGGAGTTGCTTTCCCAGCTGTGCCGGATGCGTCTCAGGACACGCCATGTACTTTTCACTGGGGGCCAAGGGCCTGACGGCCAGATGCGGGGGCTGAACACAAGGGCTGGGGTCCCACTGCCTAGAACACAGTCTACTTTCAAGTTCAAGTGCGCTGACATGTAAAAGGGGCTCTAAACCTTGGCTCCCACGTCCCCATCAGTCACCGCAATCCGGCGTGGTTGGGACCTGAGAAACGCCTTGTATGTGACGTTTCTGCAGCCTCTGCTTGAAGAACGTCACAGCAGGAAAGAGGAAACGTTCCTGCCCAGCAGGCCTCTTGTCTTACGGAGACGGGTCTCACAGGGGCCAAGGGGCAGCCAGGACCACACGGGCCCCATCCGCTCAGGCCCCTCTCCCATCACGTGCACCATGCAAACTAACCACCTCCCGACTTCTGAGCTTGAAAAATGAGCACTGGGAAGCCACCCTGGTGTCCATCAACAGAGGAACGGATATAGAAGATGTGTGTGTGTACACACACACACACACACACACACACACACACACTGGAATATCACTCAGCCATGAAAAAGAATGAAACAATGCCATTTGCAGCAACCTGGAAGGACCTAGAGATGATCATACTAACTGAAGTCAGACCGAGAAAGACAAATACCATATGAGATCACTTATATGTGGAATCTAAAAAGATGATACAAATGAACTTATTTACAGGAGAAACAGACTCACAGACAAAGAAAACAAACTTATGCTTACCAAAGCAGAAAAGCAGGGAGGGATAAATTAGGAGTATGGGATTAACAGGTACACACTACTATATATAAAATAATTAACAAAAGACCTCCTCTATAGTACAGGAAACTCTACTCAATATTTTATAATAACCTATAAGGGAAAAGAATCTGAAAAACATATACACATATGTATGACTGAATCATTTTGCTGTACACCTAAAACTAACACAACATTGTACATTAACTATACTTCAAATAAAAAAACCAAACAAACAGTGGGCATTTCAACCCCACAAGATGCCTTCCAAAAGTCTACGTCCTAACATTAAGCAAGAACAAATGAGAGATGACACAGATGTCGTGGCCCCGCCCCCAAGAAGGGAGCTGTGGATGGACTGACATCACCTGTGTTTCTAACTCAGTGCGTCAACGCCCCAGAGAGGACACGGGGGCTGTTCATGGAGTGCCCCACCAGCCCCGCGACCCTCTGCCCGCTTCCGCCAGCGACACACTGACCACCCGCGTGGTCTGTCACCTGCACGGCGCACGTACCTTCTCTTCCCTCCTCAGCCTTCAGCAGGAACATGTCGGAGTGCTGGGTACCTCTGTCCACATCTTTCCTGACTCTCTGCAAAAGGAAAAGGGAGCCGTGACAAATGCCACATGCTGTGCCAAGCCACGCAAGGCCCCCCAGGCTTGTGGCCCCGTCTCCCGTGGAGGTGACTCGCTAGCCTTCAGACCAGCCTCAAAATCTGAAACACAACAGGTTCCATCCAGACCGCCTCTGAACGGACAGAATACATGACCCCAGGCTGGGGACACCCCAGAGCTCTCCCCTCAGAGCTTCCTGTGGCTCCGGGCCGAGCCCTGCTCTGGATGGGCGGGGTCGCCGCAGGGACCCTCCTATCATTACACAGCCACCCTCCATCTCCAACCCCTGTGCCCTCGATTCCCATCGCCTTCCCAATAATGGGATTCAAGCTTCGGTGCGAGGATCAAACGCTCTGTGCAGAAGCCGGCACAGCCATTCAAAGAGCTTTCCTGAGCTGTAGACACCAGAGCCCACCTCCACCCGGGCCTGCTGCTTCACACCAGGCTTACGGCGCTGGGCAGACCACACACTTCACTCTCCCGGCAGCTGCACTGAGATGGCATATTCCTCTCTTCCAGCAGGCTAGCAGGGGAAGCGGCTGCCACTCCCATGCCCACCCTTCCAGGCCAAAAGCCCAGCACTCTCAGGAACTAAATCCACACGAGGGGCTTCCCTGGTGGCGCAGTGGTTAAGAATCCGCCTGCCAATCCAGGGGACACGGGTTCGAGCCCTGGTCCGGGAAAATCCCACATGTCGCGGAGCAACTAAGCGCATGCGCCACAACTACTGAGCCTGCGCTCTAGAGCTCGCGTGCTGCAACTACTGAGCCTGCATGCCACAACTACTGAAGCCCACGCACCTAGAGCCTGTGCTCCACAACAAGAGAAGCCACCACAATGAGATGCCCATGCACCACAACGAAGAGTAGCCCCCGCTCACCGCAACCAGAGAAAACCCACACGCAGCAACGAAGACCCAACACAGCCAAAAATAAATAAATTAAATAAATTAAAAAAAATAAATCCACACAAGGCCTTGCCCACTGGCCGCACACTGCAGGAATGCAGTGCCGTCTGCTTGTGTCGCAAACTTGACCACAGCCGGGCTCCAGCCCTTCCCTCTCAGTCCCTTGCCCTCCTGCACCTGCGGGCATCCACGGCACTGCTCCGCCGACAGCAACCTTCCTTCCTTAGAACCAACGAGCTGAGGGGAACTTTCATGCTGTCACATTTCAATACACCCCCCGAGGCCTGTACGCCAGAGCCCTCCCTGAGAACGCCGTTCTGCCCGCCCGGGGCCACGGCTTCCACACAGTGGCCGGCGTGGCAGAGCCCGGGGCTGGGGAGGCAAGGAGGCTGCTCCCCATGAAGCATGTAACTCCCACTCCATCTCCCCTTCCTGACAGGGGTGATGAGAGGCCCGTGCGCTAGTCCCTCACCCAGTGGCCTGCGCCGTCCTTCCAGTAACGTGAATCACACTGGCCGGACGCTCACTCTCCTCACTGGACTAGAGGAGGACGCAGAATGTGCGTGAAGCTCTGGAGCTGTCAAACTTCCCCCAGGGCGTGCAAGGCTCCGCACGGGGTCTCAGCTCGTCCCCAAGGGGGAGTGGACGCTAACGCCACGGAGCAGTGACTTGGGCGTGCACCTGACAGAGCATTCCTTCCGCTGCTCGCAAATCTCTGTCTCGTACAGTATTAACGGAGCCCAAAGACATCTGAGAGAGCCGTGTACCAAGGGTCACGACACTACGCTGCTCCTGTGGAGGGCGTTCCCACCCAGAACCCCAGTGTCACACCCACGCCTTTACCACCAACCCTGGTAAATCCCCCGTGAGCGCCAACAGAGCAGCTTCTCACTGCCATCAAATGCCGAAGGCCTGGCGTGAGTGGCCCCTGGCTCAAAGGGACTCGGATCACCCCCCAGCTGTCCGCGTGGCTGCGGAAAAGCCGCATTTGGGAGTCAGGCGCTGCTCTGATTGAAGTGGCATCAGCTTGACGAGGGCTTGCTGTTCATCACCCGGTTTTGCTGAGGAGCATCTACTGCGATAAAGCATCAGTTCTGGGCACTGCACACAGCTTCTGGCGACAGCCGCCCGTTTCGCAGGGCCCTCCCAGCTGTCACGCGTCTAGCCACACCCCAGGCAGGTCACAACCACAAATCCCAAGTCAGTTTTCCTTTCCAGAACAAGGGCTGGCCGCTGGCTGAGTGGGGGTGTGGCAGGGTGGACGGAGGTGGCCGGGGCACCCCCCTGCCACAGCCATCACTTACGCTGCGTGTTTTGGGGGCACGTGGGTAAGAACGCAACGTGACCGTAAAGAACCTTAGTGTGTTCACACAGGAGCACATCAACACCACCGCTGTCCACTTCTCATTCCACAGAAAGGAATGTTCATATTAATCTAATGAACTATTATTTGAAGTTTTCATCGCTGGTGAAACTGAAAAGGCAGCAGACAGAAGTCACTCTGCATCCCACACACGCGTCTTACCTGCTTCGAGTAGCCCCCGTAGATGACGATGCTGCCCTGGGCGGTGACGGTCATCTGGCAGCCTGACCTGGGTGTGGGCCCAGTCCCGGACGGGGACAGCCTGCTCCACGTGAAAGCGTCCAGGTTGAAGGCATACAGGTCATTGTAATAGATGTAATCTCTGTTATAATATAGGAACACAAACAAAAAGGCGGTGACGTGAAAAAGTGAACTTGATCTAAAATAAAGGTAAGTTTGCTACCGTATGTACTAAGTTATTGGTTTAATTAAAGTTTAAATTCATAGGAAAGGACAGCAAGCCTATGTGGGTTTGCACTTGAAGCCAGAAATAACGCTGGCCCAGAGAAGCACTATAACATGCCTGGATCCGAAAGTCTTTTCCTTCTGAAAGTTACATGATACATCCTTACACAGCTTATACAATCACAGTCTTGCGAAACAACTCCATTAGTTTTCTGTGTGTGTAACCTTAAGCGGGACAATGAACTATGCACCAATACCCGGCATCCTCGGAAGGGAGATATTACAGCTTGGCAAGCGCTGTGGAGACCCCGGGCTGGGCAGAGATGGGGCAAAGCGTTCCTGGAACCGAGAGAGAACTCCTGGAGCCCACAAGCCCGAGCCAAAGCCCAGAGGCCGTGGCTGAGGCATCCAAGAGGCGCAGCGGCCTTGCCCTGCTCAACGCTCCTGGGGCTTCAGTGGCAAAGGACTCAAAACACACATGGGGCCTTGAGGAGGGAGCACGTGTGTGAGGAAAGCAGCAGTTCTGCCAGAGACACAGAGGCAACCGTGTGTCCTGACGGGAATTTCACAGGTGGCCACGGGCAAAGCCAAGGGGCCTCGGGTCAGAATTACACGGAAGAATGGGAGATGCTCCCCAGCTACTCCACATGGAGAGCTGGGCCCGATGTTCGCAGGAAGAAAGCATGGATGCACGGAAGGACTGAGCAGCCCCACCGGTCAGACGTGATTCCTGACTCCCCTGCTGCACTCAGGTCACCCACGTCTGGCGCCCTGCGGCCAACGTGCAGGTCACTGAGCTCCCCGGAGTGCTGTCCAGAGCTGGGCCCTGGGAACAGGGTGAGCCACGTGGCCGCTCCGCCGAACACAGCCTTCCGCGGGAGGAGGGCTTCACGTAGATGAAGTGAGGAACCAGGGGCACAGTTTTTAAAAGACTTCACCACATTCCACAGTTTTCTCAGATTTCACGTTGCAAATTTCCGGGAAAAAAAATATTCTATTCTGCACGTAGGGTAAACAACAACTGTCATTGGGTTTTAAAGGTCAAACTGTACTTTGTTTAATGTGGATGGTGACCACACAGACATCTGTTTGAGGAACTTCAACTTTTCTATATGTTTGAAATACTTCATAAAAAATAATTTTAAACAAAGTAACAGATAATAGCTTTTGAAAAACATTCTGAGTTTGAAATGGTTCCAAGTTACAACCACTGTAACACCTGACTCATTTTGTAACCTGTGAGTTTCAGGAGAAGGGCCTGCGTAGACCCCACTCACTGTCCCGCACACGACAGGTGCTGAATTAACACACTGATGTCGCATGAACCCCCGTGTCTGCGATGGCAAACGATTATTTGCTTTGTTCAGGGTTTTAAATGTAAACAACAGTCCTTTAAATAAGAATTTTAAAAAACAGAGCAGGCTCTCTTCTCCAAAATGGCAAGAAACCAAACACGTGCAGGTCAGGAAACAGACCATGGGCAGGAGATGGACCAGGACAGGGCAGGGAGCCGGGGTGGAGGCAGGAGACGGACCAGGGGTAGGAGATTAACCAGGACAGAAAACCAGGGTGTAGGCAAGAGACACACCAGGAGCAGGAGACGTTACCAGGGGCAGGGAGCCGAGGGGTGCAGCGCGACAGGATATGGGAGTAACTGAACATCTGCAATCTTTGGTCAAGGACAAGTTCTACTACCTAACAGTTACCTTGGTTTCCTCATCTTTAACTTGAGATAATATAACCTACTCTCCCTATAGCTTGGTTTTTAAGTGAATTCTGTAAAAACCACTTGGTGAACTTTGTGACGAGACATAAAACTTAAGCACTATTATACCCAGATTACGCCTTTAAGATACACAATCATTCCTTGTTTTATGTGAATTCGACTTTAAAAATCTCCTCCCAAAGCACTTAAGAATTATACCCTGGGAGACCTTCAAGATGGCAGAAGAGTAAGACACGGAGATCACCTTCCTCCCCACAGATACACCAGAAATACATCTACACGTGGAACAACTCCTACAGAACACCTACTGAACGCTGGCAGAAGACCTCAGACCTCCCAAAAGGCAAGAAACTCCCCACGTACCTGGGTAGGGAAAAAGAAACAAGAAAAAACAGAGACAGAAGAATAGGAATGGGACCTGCACCACTGGGAGGGAGCTGTGAAGGAGGAAAGGTTTCCACACACTAGAAGCCCCTTCACTGGCGGAGACGGGGCGGGCGGGGGGGGATGGCGGGGGGAAGCTTCGGAGCCACGGAGGAGAGCGCAGCAACAATGGTGCGGAGGGCAAAGCAGAGAGATTCCCGCACAGAGGATCAGGGCCGACCAGCACTCACCAGCCCGAGAGGCTTGTCTGCTCACCCGCCGGGGCGGGCGGGGCTGGGGGCTGAGGCTCGGGCTTCGGAGGTCAGATCCCAGGGAGAGGACGGGGGTTGGCGGCGTGAACACAGCCTGAAGGGGGCTAGTGTGCCACAGCTAGCCAGGACGGAGTCCGGGGAAATGTCTGGAACTGCCTAGGAGGCAAGAGACCATTGTTTCAAGGTGCACGAAGAGAGGGGGTTCAGAGCGCCGCCTAAACAAGCTCCAGAGACGGGCGCAAGCCACAGCTATCAGCACAGACCCCAGAGACGGGCATGAGACGCTAAGGCTGCTGCTGCCGCCACCAAGAAGCCTGTGTGCGAGCACAGGTCACTCTCCACACCCCTTCTGGGGAGCCTGTGCAGCCCGCCACTGCCAGGGTCCCGGGATCCACGGACAACTTCCCCGGGAGAACGCACGGCGCGCCTCAGGCAGCTGCAACGTCACGCTGGCCTCTGCTGCCGCCGGCCCCCCCCGGCCTGAGTGAGCCAGAGCCCCCTAATCAGCGGCTCTTTTAACCCCGTCCTGCCTGAGCCAAGAACAGACGCCCTCCGGCGACCTACAGGCAGAGGCGGGGCCAAATCCAAAGCTGAGCCCCTGGGAGCTGTGAGAACAAAGAAGAGAAAGGGAAATCTCTCCCAGCAGCCTCAGGAGCAGCGGATTAAAGCTCCACAGTCAACTTGATGTACCTGCATCTGTGGAACACATGAATGGACAACGAATCATCCCAAAATTGAGGCGGTGCACTTTGGGAGCAACGATATTTGTATTTTTTTCCTTTTTCTCTTTTGCGGGTGTGTATGTGTATGCTTCTGTGTGTGATTTTCTCTGTATAGCTTTGCTTTTACCATTTATCCTAGGGTTTTGTCTGTCAGGGGTTTTTTTGGTTTGTTTAGTATAGATTTTAGTGCTTGTTATCAGTGGTGGATTTGTTTTTTGGTTCGGTTGCCCTCTTCTTTCTTTTTTTAAATTACTTTTTAATTTTAAATAATTATTTTTTTATTTTAATTATTTTATTTTATTTTTCTTTCTTTCCTTCTTGTTTTCTCCCCTTTATTCTCAGCCATGTGGATGATAGGGTCTTGGTGCTCCAGCCGGGTGTCACGGTTGTGCCTCTGAGGTGGGAGAGCCTAGGTCAGGACATTGGTCCACCAGAGACCTCCCAACTCCACGTAATATCAAACAGCAAAAATCTCCCAGAGATCTCCATCTCAATGCTAAGACCCAGCTCCACTCAACAACCAGCAAGCTACAGTGCTGCACACCCTATGCCAAACAACTAGCAAGACAGGAACACAACCCCACCCATTAGCAGAGAGGCTGCCTAAAATCATAAGGTCACAGACACCCCAAAACACACCACCGGACGCAGACCTGCCCGAGAGAAAGACAAGGTCCAGCCTCATCCACCAGAACACAGGCACTAGTCCCCTCCACCCGGAAGCCTACACAACTCACTGAACCAACCTTAGCCACTAGGGGCAGACAGCAAAAACAACAGGAACTACGAACCTGCAGCCTGCGAAAAGGAGACCCCAAACACAGTAAGTGAAGCAAAATGAGAAGACAGAGAAACACACAGCAGATGAAGGAGCAAGGTAAAAACCCACCAGACCTAACAAATGAAGAGGAAACTGGCAGTCTACCTGAAAAAGAATTCAGAGTAACGACAGTAAAGATGATCCAAACTCTTGGAAATAGAATGGAGAAAATACAATAAACGTTTAACAAGGAACTAGAAGAACTAAAGAGCAAGCAAACAATGAACAACACAATAAATGAAATTAAAAATTCTCTAGAAGGAATCAATAGCAGAATAACTGAGGCAGAAGAACAGATAAGTGACCTGGAAGATAAAATAGTGGAAATAACTGCTGCAGAGCAGAATAAAGAAAAAAGAATGAAAAGAATTGAGGACAGAGGCTTCCCTGGTGGCACAGTGGTTAAGAATCTGCCTGCCAGTGCGGGAGACATGGGTTCAAGCCCTGGTCTGGGAAGATCCCACATGCCGTGGAGCAACTAAGCCCATGCACCACAACTACTGAGACTGCGCCCTAGAGCCACCGAGCCACAACTACTGAGCCCGTGTACCACAAGTGCTGAAGGCCGTGCACCTAGAGCCCATGCTCCCAACAAGAGAAGCCACCACAATGAGAAGCCTGCACACTGCAACAAAGAGTAGCCCCCACGTGCAACAACTAGAGAAAGCCCACGCACAGCAACGAGGACCCAACGCAGCCAAAAATAAAAATAAATAAAATAAAATAAATTTATATATAAAAAAAAGAATTGAGGACAGTCTCAGAGACCTCTGGAACAACATTAAATGCACCAACGCACCAACATTCGAATAACCCCACCAACATTAGGGGTCCCAAAAGAAGAGGAGAAAAAGAAAGGGACTGAGAAAATATCTGAAGAGATTATAGCTGAAAACTTCCCTAATATGGGAAAGGAAATAGTTAATCAAGTCCAGGAAGCACAGAGAGTCCCATACAGGATAAATCCAAGGAGAAAAACACCAAAACACATATTAATCAAACTAACAAAAATTA